TTCTCATGATCTCTGTTCTGAGTTGAAGGCAAAACTCTGATTCTCTGGTACTCCCTGTTTCTGCTCTAACATGGGCCTGTCTGTCTGTTCTGGGAGTGCCTTGGCAAGGTATGTTAGAGGTGGATTCCCATGCACAGGTCTCTGTGTATGCCCCTCAAGTAAGGAGCAATGCCGGAGGACGCAGGGCAAGGTACATTTCCCAGTCATGAAGTCTGCAAAGAACTCATCCCAGGGGTCAAAGGATGGCAGCACTGGCAGGTTGTTGCAGAAATGGTAATAGGAGACTGCCTTGTCCTTGGGGTTCTGAACTAGCACAAGGAAACACATAATGTGGTTATGATTTGATGACTGACCAACACACCATCTTCTCAACACATCACGTAGTATCACAGAATCATTTAGGTTGGAAAAGACCTCTCAGATCATTGAGTCCAACCATTAACTAAGCCCTGCCAAGTCCACCACTAAACCATGTCCCTAAGCACCACATCTACACATCTCTCACATACCTCCAGGGATGGGGACTCAACCACTTCCCTGGCAGCCAGTTCCAATGCTCAACAACCTTCCATCAATAATTGTTTTCTAATATCCAGTCTCAATCTCCCCTGGGGCAGCTTGAGGCCACTTCCTTTTGTCCTGTCACCTGTTACTTGTGAGAAGAGACCAACCTGCTCCTGATTGCAACCTTCTTTCAGGCAGTTGTAGAGAGCAATAAGGTCTCCCCTGAACCTCCTTTTCTCTAGGCTAAAGAAACCCAGCTCCACCAGCTGCTCCTCATAAGACTTGTGCTCCAGACCCTTCTCACCTCTGTTGCCTTCTTTGGACACACTCCAGCACCTCAAGATCCTTCTTATAGGATAGTGAGAGGCCCAGAACTGAAAATGGTGTTCAAGGTGTAGCCTGATCAGTGCCAGATGCAGAGGGACAATCACTTCCCTTGTCCTGTTGGCCACACTATTTCTGATAAAAATCCATAATTTAATCTTTGGGTGAAATTGTTCTTTATGTGGCTGTTATTTGTATTGTAGCCAATATCTTTTTAGAGGATAAATTGTGTAGGTAGAGAAATACATATCTCCACAGATCATCCAAACACACAGACAATACAGGATGGCTTAATTGCCCTGTGGAGGGTCTTTCACTCTTTTTTCATGCTCTGGAATATACTTTGAGTCCTGTTCACCGTCCATATGATAACCCTTGCATTACATCCTTGTTTCTTCCATCATAAGTGGTTGTTAGACACTTACTTAGTAAATCCATACACAAGTTTAATTAAGCATGAGGAGGTGTCAAATCAAAAAGCATAACTGTAGGATTTGGAAGATCATAAAAGTTACCCAAAAGAGTTCTTTAAAATTTTTTCTCTACCAAAATGCAGAACCACCAAAATAGACCACTTTATTGGAAATATTTTCTTTAGCAGTGTTATTTTACTTATAAAAGTTTGAGACAGTGTTCTTATATTATACTTTCGGTCAGCTTTGATTTTGTTATTGTTTTCAGGTTTCTGTCCATGTGTTTACTCTGAGTTGCAAAGGAAAATTTCCTCCCACTTGCCAATACTAAAGAGCATCAGGAAAATAACACTTCTTTTCTCCTGTCTTTGGAGCCAGACACCTGAATCCTGAGGGAGCCAGAGAAGACCTCAACATGACATTTAACAACCTGTCACCTGAGCCACTGGGGACACAGGTGCCTCCAGGTCCTTTAACCCTTAGACTCTGGTCTCTGCTCATCCAGCAGGGTGCTCGATGCTGTCACAGCCACCTGTCAGTCTGCTCAGCAGCTGCACAGGTGAGGGGTCAGAGCAGCTCTGTCTCTCTGGAGAGATTAGGGGGAACCAGGTGCCCTGAGCATGATGGGAGTCCCAGTCCCAGCTGTCTGTCCAGCAGCCAGGGCCTCAGGGTAAGCAGGTGAATGACTCATAGGCCACAGCTCTTATGGTCCCCAGGCAGAACGCTGAGTTGTTCAGTGATCTACAGGACAATCTACCTTGGATAGAAATGCTGGTATCAGAAGCACTTGCAGTACAACATAAAGAGAAAATTCACCTTAGCCAAAGATTTACCTTGGCCTTGATTTGAAAAGTCAGCTGGGTAAAAGACATGAGGTGGGAGGTGGGTTAATATAATTTTTCTGGTGTCTTCATCCCCTTGAAGCAAACAGACAAAAATACAATGTAAGCATCCTCTTCAATGGAAATATACCATTTCAGGAATCATAAGTAACAAAAAATATTAGACCAAAAAGAAAGATAATTTTGGTTTGTTTTTGTTTTTTTTAAGATGGGTGAGGATGTAGTAGTAATAATGTTTGAAAGCCACTGCTATTGTGTTATTCAATTATGTCTTACCTTGAAAAGCGATTCCCACATTTTTCTGAATTGATTCTCACACTCACTGACTTCACCTCTGCTTATGTTTCACTCCCTCATCATGTTAGTAATCCATCGACTTTCCTAGCCTATGTTACTTTTCTGACA